CAGGATATGAAATACTATCTGGGAGATGAGAAAGTCAAGTAGAGCGGAATTGCTGGGCATGAGAAAGGACTCATTCAAGGTATGGTCATCAATTGAATATGAAGCCAGTCAATCCTGTAATATTTTTCCCCAGCTACTTTCAGGTGCTCCATTCCTCACACAGAGAAGGTGTATCTCTGGATTCAGCAAGGATTGTACTTCCTTGAGAGGAAGGCAAGGATTAAGAGACTGGAGGAAGGGAATGAATGGTGTTAAAAGGGAAAGCATGACCCTTAAATGTAAGCAGCTTAAGAGGCGAATTAAAAGCAGGAAGGAGGCTGGGGTTGTAGCTCAGTGGTAGAGTGCTTGCCCAGCATGTGTGAGGCACTGGTTTCAATCCTCAGCACCACATGAAAATAAATAAAATAGGGCTGGGGTTGTGGCTTGTAGGTAGAGCGCTCACCTAGCATGCGTGAGGCACTGGGTTTGATCCCCAGCAACACATAAATAAAATAATGACATTGTGTTCACCTGTAACTAAAAAATAAAAATAAATAAGTAAGTAAATAAATAAATAAAGGCATTATGTCCAACTACAGCTATATATATATTTATATATTTACATATATATATATGTATATATATATATATATGTATGCAGAAGGGATGCAGAGGGGGTTGTGGAACATTAGAAAAGGGACTTTATTCATCCATTCAGTTTACTCATTAGTCAACAGTGATGCTCCTACTATATGCTAAACCTAGGCTCTGTGGGTATGTTCATGGAACAGACTGATCAAGTCTTCTCACAGATTAACATAAATTGTACAGTAAAGAATTAAAACCAGTAAGTGTAATTTGCCGTTATGTTTTTATAAGAGATAAGGGGGGGAAGGGTAGAGGATAGAAAGCAATGAGTGGGAAGGAGAGCAGTGGGGATTAACAGTCCTGGGAAGTGAGTCTCTGGTGGAATCAGGGGAGCCTGGACAGACCTGCAGCAAGCCTGGGAAGAGCTGTGGGGTAGCATGCCAGGCTGAGGAACAGGGAGTGCTTTTCTGTTTTACAATGTCATGAATCCTTGCATAGTGAGGCCAGCAAAGTCATGATAAACAAGGTATTTTTCCTTCCCTATTGTATTTTTAAGTGGTGTTTTTATGATACTGTGACACAGTTGGTTTAAGCAAGTGGTTGTTACACACAAGTCATTAGGGTGAGTAATCCGTTCAGTCGAAAGTCTCATGTAAGTAGGCCATTTGTTTAAGATCAATGTAAATACACCCTATATGAGAGATTTGCCTCCAATTTGTCAATCCATTCTCCAGTTCCCAGCACTGGAATGCTGCCCATAACAGGATTCAGTTAATATTTATTGAATGAATTTTTGTGCTCACATACAGTTTAACACTTAGAAACACAAAACATCCCCCTTCAAACCTTTTCAAAGAAGTCCTTTTAAGGTAAAAGTTTGAACACAAACCCGAAGGTCTCTTCTTTTTTCCCGGGAGTGTGGGGACTCGCCCTAAATGGCTTTGTAAAAAACTTTGATATAATTCACAAATCATAAAATTCACCCTTTTAAAGAGTGCATTTTGCTGGGTTTTAGTATATTCATGAAGTTGTGCAACCATCACATTACCTAATTCCAGAACATTTTTATCACCCCAAAAAGAAACTTCATAAGGACCAGACCTATTTGCCTATTGTAGACATGGCAATATGTGTCCTTCTACATTTGACTTCTTTTACTTAGCAAAATATTTTCAAGGTTAATCTGTGTTTTAGCATGTATCAGTACTTCATTCCTTTTTATAACAATGATATTCAATTGTGTGGCTATGCCATATTTTGTTTATCCATTCATCAGTTGACGGATATTTTAATTATTGCTACTTTTAGACTATTATAAATAATGCTACTCTGAGCATTCATGTCCTAGTTTTTGTGTGAACTTAAGTTTCCAGTTGTCTTAGACAAATACCTGCATGTACAAATGTACACGCATATATTTTTAAAGGTACACTTTCTTAAACATTTTAAAATACTTCGCACTATGATATATTTTTTTAATGCATTAAATTGGTACCTGTTATTTACTTAAGCTATTATTTAACAGTTTTCCAAAAATATGAGTAAGCAACTCTGACCTTCGGGGAAGACATCCCCTGTGTCCTATGGCTCTGAAGCTCCATGGTTGGCTACTTACAGCATGGATAGGGCCCAGTATTTAGTGGCATTCTGCGGGTGATTGTGAGTGCAATTCTGAACAGGTAATGGCTTGACTTTTATCAAGAAACATTGCTTCTTCCTGGAACAATTATAAAATCTTGAAATTTGGAACTAGACAGGATTCTGGGAGTCCATCTAAACCAATCCCCTTTCCCCTAGCCTCCCCCCTTTTTTAAAATAGATCTTTGAACTAAGGGAAGCCCAAGGGCTTAAAATGGTGGTCTACGTTCCTATAGCTGGCAAGAGGCCAGATCATGACTCCCAATTTAGTGCTCTATCTCTCAGACTTCACTTTGCCTTTGTTGTGTGAATTTCAAAATCATAAAATAAAAAATAAACTAGTGAGTGATGTTTTCAGATAAAAGCTTAGAGAAAATGCTGTCAGAGTCTTTTAGGAAGTTAGCCTTCTGTTCATTATTTCACAGGGACAGAGAAGGAAAACAGGATTAATACTGTTGTTTGTAGCGTATGTCTAAGGAAGAAAGAATTAGAGACATTTGTAAACACTGAGACTGTCCTAAACAAAGGCTAGCCGCTCCTACTAAATTCCTTAATAGTCATCCTTGTTTCTTCTCTTTACATTGGAACATTTACATATCAGTAGTTTAAAAGAGGGGGCACAAGGATTAGGCATAATTGTTTTATCCAAAATTACGCAACAGATTATGCAGTTAAACACTTGGCTCTCTGAAATGTCATGCTGGATATCATTTATCCTTCTCCCAGTGAGTCAGAAGTGGGAATGGGTTCATTCACTATTTCCAGTAAGCGACTTACCACCAGCAGGTGTTGTCACTGGTGGGAAATGGTAGGACCAGAATGTACGTTTATTTGGAGATCTCAGAAATGTCCCAAGGGCCCTGACATAGAGGCCACAGGCAGCTGAGAGTGCTGCCAGCACCCCTGGCTGAGAAGAGGCTCCTGATCCCCCGCGTCTGGGAATGTTCCCTAGCATAAACCCGAGAACAGGTGCGGTGCGCAGCCCTGTGGTCCAGGCTCATCCCCCCTTATGGGATCATGGGAATATCACTTCAAGATCTAAGCCCTCATCTCTAAAATTAGGGGGTAGACCAATTGACTTTGGAAAAAAAAAAAAACTCTTTTGGCTTTAAAATGCTATAGCTGCACCATTTAGTGGTTTCAAATGTTAAGTATAACAGAGATGAAAAGCAGTATACAAAGGTGATAAGGACTCAGTCCTTAAAGTTATACAGAACCATCTTTTAGTCCTCTGTGACAATAAGCAAGTTTAATTATCTCTGTAGCCTTCATATGTTATCCTTAAAAGGGGGATGATGGCCGTAGGGCTTACCTTGCAGGACTAGTGGACAGGGGAGGATGGCATCATGAATGCCAAGATTTTAGCACAGTGCCTGATACCTCAGATGATTCAATGTTCATTAGTAGCAAGTAGGATTGCTGTTTTCTTTATTTTTAAAAATTTTTTAGTTACAAGTGGACACAATATCTTTATTTTATTTTTATGTGGTGTTGAGGATTGAACCCTGTGCCTCACGCATGTTAGGCAAGCGCTGTACCTCTGAGCCACAACCCCAGCCCAGGACTGTTGCTTTCTTTAGGGATATTTTATACTAACTCCATATTATTCCCTTTAGAAATAAGTGATGATAATGCCAGCAAATTTTAGTAACATTGTTAACTATGTAGACTAAAATTTTATTTAAACTTATAATTATTAACCTAAAAACTTCTGTGATTTACATGATTGGATTTTAGGCATGGGGGAAGACATGAAATTAGCTTGACTGTCTGTAATATTCCTTGTATTTTTCTATCCCTTAATTTGAAGACAGAATAAAGTCATCAGTGGGAAACTTCTCAAGTTAATGGTGATTCAAAAGTGAGACTCTACATTATTAGAAAACCAAAACAAACAAGATTATTATAATTTGTTTATCACAGCAATAAAGTATAAATATCTCCAACTCCATCTAAGTTACCTCCTTACAATTTCTGCCATTAGTTTTGTAAATATTTTTTTATTTATTTTTTTTTATTGGTTGTTCAAATCATTACAAGGCTCTTGACATATCATATTTCAAACATTAGTTTCAAGTGAGTTATGAACTCCCATTTTTACCCCAAATACAGATTGCAGAATCACATCGGTTACACATACACATTTTTACATAATGCCATACTAGTAACTGTTGTATTCTGCTATCTTTCCTATCCTCTACTATCCCCCCTCCCCCCCATTTCTCTTTTTATCCCGTCTACTGCTGGTAGTTTTGTAAATATTATTTTGCTTTGAACCAAGGACTTAGAAGTGTAAACATTTTGGAAATAGGAACTCAGACGTTTTTCCTCAGTTAGGGCATTAGTATGATTCCCTATCACTATTCAGTAGTCGTTTGTTAAATTATCTGAAGTTATTTCTTTAAGATAAAGACTATAAAGGATCAGAACATGAGCAATTCTGTTGCTTGATATCTTGGAAAATGAGTTCTTCATCTTTCAAAAGAAGAGGTGAGCTGCCTATAGCAGGTGTTTATGTGATAAAGTGACATAGCAGTGCAGATATGATTTTAGTGATCTTCTGAATGTATAGGTCCTGTATGTTCCACACCTTGGTCACCCCCTATCTCACTTCACTGTTCTATGGGAGACAGAAGAGAGGAAACATCCTGGCACCTCACTGCAATCTCATGAGCTGCTCAGGTGAACAACTCAATGTAGAAATGCCTCGTCTCTCTTAATTATTGCTTTAGCTACCTCATAATTTCTGGGTAAGCAGTCTTTATTCTCTGATTTTTTTTATACTTCTTTTATAGGAGGCCAATGGTAAGAACTCTCTACCCATCCTTTTAACAAAAGACCTAGAAAGAGATATGCCAAAACCGTCTCCAAGAGCCAAGGTAAGTAAAGCCTGTACTCCATACATCAGGTGAAACCTCCAGCGTGGCCCTTTATGCTCTCCTATCTCCATGGTCTGCTGCTCATACTTCTTTTAGCCACTTTGAAGGGTCCCTCCCCCACTTCATGCCACCGTGCTTTGGTGGCATGAAGTGGGGAAGGGGAGAGCTGGTGGTGTAAACATACTTTTTATTTTATTTTATCAAGGTTATATTCATCCAAAAATTATTGGTACCTCCTGTTATTTTACAGACGCTCACATTCTTTAGTGGATGGTTTTCTGTTCAATCAGAATTGTTTCCAGCCTCCAGCAGAGGAAATAGTCAAGGGTGGATATCTTTCTCAGGGCACTTCTGAATGTGACAGAAATCCATCAAAGGCATTTTTCTTCCTTAGATTAAAGTAAAATGCTCAACTGTACATTTTTTTTTTGTTCTAACATGGAAATAACCTTACTGATTTTTCATTGTTACTAAAGTAACACATGATTAATAGAAAGTATTTACGTGAATAATATAACCAAAAAAGAACTAGCATAGATATGATGGAATAAAGGGCCAAATGTATAAAATTTTGTTTCTCCTATTAAGGAAAACTTAAAATTCACATAATTGTTTTGCCAATGAAAAGGAAAACAATCCTTTACCAAAATTTATCATGAGAATTTGATCATTTGTCTTTTCAGAAAAGTGATTATATTAATCATATAGCTACTTATTTTCTTTATCTTTACTCTTTCCTTTTGAGTAGAACTTCTACTGACTAGACATATATAATATTCCTAACTGACCACTATGACATTTATAAGGTTACCTTTTTCCCCCAATTCTAAGATAGAATGTACCTCAAACTTTCTTGAGTCTAGGTAAAATTTAAAAGAATGATTTCATTCGCACATTGCTGCAAAAACAATTGTGGATTTATTTTCAAAGGCAAATCAAGTATTGAGTCATTGCTTAGTGTTTTATTTATTTATGGCGTAGCTTATTTTAAAAACAAGCCAAAGCCTGGCACTATGGTGCATGCCTATAATCCCAGCAGCTCTGGAATCTAAGACAGGAGGATCGCGAGTTTAAAGTCAGCCTCAGCAATGTTGAGGCGCTAAGCAACTCAGTGAGACCCTGTCTCTAAATAAAATAAAAATCGGGCCAGAGATGTGGCTCAGTGGTTGAGTGCCCCTGAGTTCAATTCCCAGTACCAAAAATAAATAAAATAAGTAAATAAAGTGAAAATATCATTCCTTATAAATCTTAATATACTTTAACATTTTTTCTGTAAAATTATTTTAGTTTTCTATCATGCTTTTCTTTACAGAGTAAAAATGTTTATTTTTTCCACTGAAATATTTGTATGTATGAACTTACATATAATTAATTCACACATACAGTAGAAATGTTATTATGTAATGAATAAAAATTCATTGTCAAAATTGTACTCATCACACAAATCCATTAAAATATATATGGCTTGAGGAATAATTTTAGGTAACATTTGCTTCTGAACTCCATTTCCCATAGCATGATTACTTTAAGGTGATGAGACCCTAGATGAATCACTTTCAAAAGAAAGAAATTCTTGAAACTGTTCATAAAAATTGTTTGAAGATATTCTCTTACTTTTATGAAATTGATTCCATCTATAATATTTTAATCACACACAGAATCAATAATTAATGTACACTTACTGTCTTCTTCATCTATCCCACTGTATGATTTATGACCCAACTAATTTAATAAAGAAATTACTACACTGGTTAAGCCTTGATTTGTGACGGTAGCTTCCTTTTGGCCTTACATGAGCTAGTTTAAGTTTACATGAATAGAATAATCTCTGCTTAGTTCAGGGGTGATTATAATCTTTATAATGTCAAATCATGGAAATGGGCTAGAGCATATGAGGCACAAGTAATTATTGAGGCACTAAGACTTTATTAGGTCTTTTTCCCCTAGTGCGTCTTTTTTTTTCCTCCCATTTATTTATTTATTTATCCATTCATTCATTCTAATTTGCTATACATGCAGAAGTCCCCTAATGGATCTTTGAAAGCTAAACCTGAGAAGACCTTCAAAATACAGGTTATGTGCCCCTTCTACATTGACAGTGAGCTATGAGTGTGATATTTGTCCTTGGTACTAATGTTACTCCGTTTGGCCTCCGTTGCTCTTTCTCAGACATCTCTAGTTTTAGCTGCATTTGCCTTGAATGGCTAAGTATTTCTGATCCTTGAATGAGCAAGAAATATAAAGATGGCAATCCAGAAATGGCCTGTGCCCATTCGCTCTAGAGCCTGAGCCATCTGTCTGAGCCATCTGTCCCCCAGCCAGTACAGTCTCTGCTCTTGGGTAATGGAGAGGATTGTATTTCTCTTCTTAGGTAGGAGAGTCACTGCTTGATTTGAGTCCAAGATGAAGGAAGGATACCTCCTGTACTGTGCCATGACACTTCCTGGATGAGTAATGATTCCAAACCCTGCAAGCTAAAGGACATACGTAGACAACTGTTCCATTCCCAATACTATGGAGACCATATATGCAAACAAATAATTGGAATATAAGACAGAAGAGAACATCAAACAGATTTTTAAATGAACAGATATAGAACGTAGAAAGACATAGCTCCAGGAACCTAGTACAATCATGACTAGGAGAGGATTCAAAAGTCCTTTTCTACTGAACACAGGCACTGTGACTTTAAATAAGCCTCACAAACCATACTCATTGCTCACTAATAAATCTGGAAGAGGGTCCGGGAAAATAAGGGAAGAAAAATCATCCTTCTTGTCATTTCCCATGGGGTATGCTTTAGATTTCTCACTGCAGTTGCTGTGTTTTTGACCTCAGCAAAACACTCAAGGTCAAGTCATTGTGTGAGGATACCTATCAGATTAATTCACGACTAGGCTGAAAGTAGATCATAAACACTGATTTTCTTTCTGATTTTTATCAGTAGATTTAAAATACTGATAAAAATTAAAATTATGAGCACGTAATAGTTGGGTTAGTCAATTTAAGATTGGGATTCTTTCCTTCAATGTTTGGAAAAGCATACCCATAAAACTATCTGGATCTGGGGTGAGGTTTATTGGTCTATTTGTTTACAATATTTTGTTTGATTTTATATTTGTTTTGGTAAATTGATTTTTAACTAGTGATCCAATAATTTGGATACTATCTGTAATTAGAAACTGTTTTTCCATTTCCAGTATTTTCCATTGGGACCTTTTCTTTTTTGCTCTTGATTAGGCTTGCCAGAAATTTATCTATTTTATTTGTCTTTTCAAAGAAACAATTCTTACTTCTCTGATTCTTTGTTTCTTTGTTTTGCATTTCCTTGATCTCTGATTGTTATTGTTTCTTTTCTTCTCTATATCTATTATTCATATGGTAGACCTTTTTTTTTTCCTTTTATCCCTGTTATGGACCACTGCTTTGGAGGGTTTGACATCTCCAAAAGGGAGTATATGTCATATTTCAAGGATAAGAAATGCACATTATTTTCTATTTAAAGAAATGTTAGCTTTGGGGAGAAGGGGTACTGGAGATTAAACCCAAGGACACTTAATCACCAAGCCACGTTCCCAGCCTGTTTTATTTTTTATTTAAAGACACAGTCTTACTAAGTTGCTTAGGATCTCACTAAGTTATGAGGCAGGCTTTGAACTAATGGTCCTCCTGCCTCAGCCTCCCATGCTAATGGGATGATAGACATGTACCACCACACCTGGTGAAATTTTAGCTTTTTAAAAATGTTTATTTTAGTTAAGTCATTTGTGCATATTTATGAAGCCTAATAAGATAATTTGACACACGTATACAATGTGTAATGATTAAAATAGGATAATAAGCACTTCTAGCACCTCAAACCTTTATCATTTCTAAATGTTGGGAACCTTTGAACTCTTCTGCTTATCTTTAAATATAAATTGTTGTAGACTACAGTTACTCTACTGTACTGCAGATCACTGGAACTAATTCTTCCTATCTAACTGTAGTTGGTAAGGTATTATTAACCATTCTCTTCTACACCTTCTCACCCTGTAATTGTAACATGAAGTGTGGAGTCAGGTGGTTTCTTTGTCTCCTATATTTAAAGAATATGATTCACAGACAGCCGAGGGTGAAAGTGAAGTGAAGCCAAGCTCCCGTGGCTGGGAGGGAACCCAAGAGGGTTACCACTGGATGCCTGTTGTCTAGGGTTTAGGTGGGTCTCATAGGTTTAAGGAAGTCCACCCCAGCCCAATCCTGGAGAAGGCACTCAATCAAAGTATTGATCCGGTGTTTTCCTTCTTTGGAGAGGCCACAGACTCCAGGTCACGTCTGCCCTGAATTCCTATGAACTCCAGGTCACGTAGGTCCCTATTTAAAAATAACCATTTTGTAAATTTCTCAGCAAAAACCTGTGGCTGTTGTTTGTGCTCCGCTGCCCAGGGGGAATTGCCCAGGGCACATTTCCCTATCTTCCTAGCCTTATCTCATCCACCTGACTTCATAGTGATCAGTCTTCTACTTTCTTTTATGAGATCAAAGTTCAGGCTTCCACAAATGAGTGAGAGCATGCAACATTTTGTCTCTATGTGCCTGGCTTGTTTCACGTCACATGGTGTCCTCCAGTTCCATTCATGTTGCCATAAATGACAGAATAATGTCATTTTGTGGCTGAATAATATTTCATTCTGTATATGTACACCGAATTTTCTTCACCCATGTCATATTGCATCTATTGTGAATAGTACAGCAATAAACGTGCAAGTGCAGATGTGTCTTTAATATAATTATTTCATTTCCTTTGGATGCATACCCAGTAGAAGGACTGTTAGATCATATAGTCATTCTATTTTGAGTTTTTGAGAATTCTCTGTACTGTTTTCCACAATGGCTGCACTAGTTTACATTCCCACCAATAGTAAATGAAAATTCCTCTTTCTCCACATCCTTTGGACTTGTTTTTTGTTTGTTTGTTTGTTTTATCTCTTTGATAATAGCAATTCTAACTGAGGTGAGAA